ATTTACTGAACTTGGGCTAAAATCAAACCTTGGCACACAGGTGTGATACAACTTAACAGGAATCATCGATTCATCCATAAATATTATAAGGAAAAAAACTTATGCGGTAACCTGCATTAGGGCTCTTTGATACTTGCAGATTGGGGGAAACAAACAACAAACGTCTTGAAGCATATTAACGGAATTAGTTTCTAATGTGGCAAACTGTATTAAGTTAAAGTTCTGATTTGCTCACTCTATCCTGGATAGGTATTTAGAACCTGATAGTCTTTAAACAAGCCATTCCAGTCATGAGGAGGTGATGTATGAACACATGCATACATTCGAAGCACTGTTTCAAAGTTAATGCAAGTAAACACAGCAATTCCTCGTTCAATGTTTAGGCAGATCATTAAGGATGAGCTGGCCAAATGTGGGCATACTATTACAGGGAAAGTTTAAAGGTCTGATAACATGAAATAAATAGGTTTTTAGGAGAATTCATCTACTTGACATTTTAAATGCCTGCCATAAATGAAATTGAAATGGTAGAATGGCTGACCACAGCAATGACCAGCCCGCATTAGGGCCCTGGATGATTTTTGGTCTAATAACGCATGCTAGTGTTGATGTTTTTTGGTCAAGAGGGTATGAACAGGAAGAATTAATGCAGCAGGCTTTCTTTTAAATGCCGATTCACATTACTCTGTTCAAGCTGCGTTGAGATGTTAAACTGGCTTACTATAGACTTTGTAAAAATGGCTCCAGAAGAGGAACTGAAATCTGAGATCACACAGGTTGGAAATATGTACATAACTGCACAAGGTGTCAATTCTGCTCTCCAGTGCAGTTTTAGTCAGTTTTAGTTGCATAGGTTTCCATTGTATTTATAGTCTGTTTATGCTAAATCTGGCCAAAGATGAGCATTGTCCACCACTAAAATGCCTCCGCCACTTTGAATTCTGCGCTAATTTTGTGGCCAGAATGCGGTGATCAAAACGCTCAATCTTTCTACAGTGGCATAGGGAGACGGCAAAAATTTCCTAAAGTGCAATAGATTTTCAAGTGTATTGTGCCTTGTTCTAAAACTTTTATTAAGTAGGTGCACTTGACAGTATTGAGGTCATTTGTTATGGTGCTATTTCAATTAGTCTAGGTTTAGGCCCTTGTACATTTTGCCCATAACTTTTTACAAAATACTTCTTTTATTGCACATTCAGAGAATTTTATATATATGTCTTGTGTGCGTGTCCTTAAACTTCCAATCTTATTTTGTCTCTTGGAGATGGTTGAACGCAGCTTGTCTAGGAAGGGGATGGGACTAGATTCTAAAATTTATTTGGGACCATGGGAGTGATGGTTGGGAAGAAGAACTATTTGCACACGACAGATTTCTAATACTTTTTGCTGCTAGTTTTATGTAATATTTATTGAACATTTTGACAAATATTTATTTTTGTAAGCCTAAAAGTGATTCTTTGAAAGTTTAAAGAAACTTGACCAAAAGACAGTACAAAAACACTGGCACTTGAATGTTGAATGTCACCGTATGCGTGAAATTATATATTTCGGGGTAGTGTGAGCTTTTAATGTTAAGTCATATTAAACTCTTAAGTCAAATTAAGCAGACCCGGCATTGGCAGTGTAGCCATAACTTTCTGATGTTAGTGAAAACAAAATTGGCGACTTGAAATTAAAACATGCCAAGGTTTTGATACACTTGTCTTAAGATATTAATGAAACACTTCAGAACACTGATACGAAGTGTCCAGATTCTCAGATGTTTGTTGCGTGAGTTTTGTTTAGTTGTGTGTATTTTTTTTCCCAGTGAATGTCTGGCACATTGCAATCCTCAAACATGTGGTTATCTTTGTTGTATTGGCATAATCAGTGACTTGTGCATTCAGCAATAGCAAGTTCTACCAGTAAGCAATATTTTCAGTTATAAGGTTTCAAAAATGTAAGAATGGATTTAAACTTGCTGAATGTAAGGATTGAACCTCAAGTCACTGTAGCTTTAGTAATTGCTTATTGTATTAGTTTAGATGCTAGCACTGCATGTGCTGTGCATATTCTGATTTTATTAAAATAAAAAGCTGAACTGCACAGTCTCTTTCGTTGTTGTCAATTGTGGTTTATTATTAGCAGTGACAATAAAGTTGTGCTCTTGCCTGAACTGTAAGGTGTTCTATTTTTTTTGGTTGCTGTCCCGCTAGTTTTGAGATTCCTCTTGCAGACAGGAACAAGCCCTTTGGTGAAGTATTTGTAATACAGTGGAAAAGGTTTCTGTAATAGGTGGAAATCTAAAAGGTGTTCAGCATGTATTCTAGATCGGTTTATATTTTAATCAGCTTCAATATGGTTTGAACCTGTTATTTGAAGGGTGGTTGAAGTAGAAGAATGAATTCAAAATCAAACAGTAATCAAACATGGTTAAGGACTGGGGGGTCCAAGAATATATTTGGGCTCTGACCCTTACACCAAGAGGTCACTGGTTCGATTCCCCATCAGGGCACCTGCCCAGGTTGCAGGTTTGATCCCCATTGGGGCACTTCCCAGAGGCAACCAATGTTTCTCCCTGTCCCTCAAATCAGAAACATTTAAAAAATGTATTCGGGGTGAGGGTGATAGGCATGGCACGGGCACCTCCATTCCACCTGTGGTTTTTGCTGACGTCTATTATCACACATTGAGGTAGGCAGCTTGCTACCAATTAACCAATGATGGTGGAACCATAACTGAACAGATAATTATAAGTTGAACTATGTGAGACAAGGCCATGTCTTTGGGCGGCAAAAGTTGACAATATGGTTCAACCTAATGAATGCACATTGGCCTTCATTCCGCGTTGAGTTCTAGGTTTTGCAGTGTGATTAAGAACATTTTTTAAAACACTTGCTTCTGGATAGTTGCCTTTTATGGAAGAATTAGAAGCGTAAGGTGCCATTGGTATTGGAGATAGGAAAGGGAGGTAGTTGTTTGGTCAAAATAAGTGGAAAGAAAATGGCCACATTGAGAAGATTGGCAGTGGTTGAAGGTGATTCAAATTGAAACAATTCTAAGGACGGTTCAAGGTCCCTTTTATCTGTTCTGGGGGAACTGCCTAAACTATTCTATAGTTTAAATAGTAAATAACGTATCTAAATACTATTTACTGGGTTTTACTTCCTCACCTCTCACCAGATAATTTTTTTCAAAAATGTCTTGGAGCATGTTTGAAATTGCCCAATGACTTTGTGCTTAATACATTTTTTTTTTTTTTTGCTCTTAAGTGACCTGGTTGGTCATGGGCCTCCCCTTTGTAGCTCAGTGACATATCTGTGGACAGTGGTCTGTCCCTCCTCCACACCCCAATGCAGAGATTTCATTCACTGCAGTTACAGGACTTTGAAAAGTTAGCTTTCTCTTCTGTTCTTATTGAACACGTATCCTGTACTCTGCCTTAGCTTTTGTTTACCCTGTTCCTTCTAATTAGGACTGGAGCTAAATTAACGTTCTGAGTGATTTTATATGTTGTACTCAGAATTTATGTTTACAATAACTAGCATTGTGGAGAAAATAATTGCTCTAATAGGTGGAGGAAAGAGTATGTTACAATTGGAGTACACAGAATGGTCTCAACTACTTTGAAAATACATAGAAGAATAGGAGGAATTTGCCCAGTCGGTTGATAAGTGGTTGAGCATTGACCTATGAACCAGGAGGTCAGGGTTTGATTCCAGTCAAGGGCACATGCCCGGGTTGCCGGCTCGATCCCCAGTGTGGGGTGTGCAGGAGGCAGCTGATCCATGATTCTCATTGATGTTTCTCTCCTTCTCCCTCTCCCTTCCTCTCTGAAACCAATAAAAACATTTAAAAACAAAAGATGGCCAAGCAAACCCAGAAGAAGAAAAAAAAAAAAGTAGGAGGAACTCTGCTAAAATAGTGACAGTTCCTGTTTCTGGTTGAAATTTTAAAAAGACTTTCTGCTTCAAACTTGTACTGAACAGATTTTATATGATTAGAATATATTTTCTAATAGAAAATGTTTTTCTCTTTTTTAGTTGTGGAAATAGTACAGAGGGGTCCTGTACCCTTCGCCCAGTTTCCCCCAATGGGAACATTGGCACAACTAATGCAACATCAAAGCAGGAAGTGGACTTTGGTACAACCACGGATCTTATTCAGGTTTCTCTAGTTTTCCGTGTGTGTGTGTGTGTGTGTGTGTGTGTGTGTGTGTGTGTGGTGTGGTGTGTGTGGTGTGTGTGTGTATGTGTAGTTCTGCGTAGTTTTATCACATGTTGATCTGTGTAACCACCTCCACCAAACTGTTCCAGCAGCAGCAGCAGCAAGATCTCCCTAGGGCTGCCTCTGTGGTCACACCCGCCCCTTCCTGCCTCCTCACCCTGTCACTCACCCCTGGCAACCACTCACTGGGTTTCCATCTCTAAAATGGCATTTCAGAATTGCTAACAAAATGGAGTTGTGCAGTATGCGACCGTTTGAGACTGGCTGTTTGTCATTCAGCACAATGACCTTGAGAGCCATTCAAGTGGTTGCAGTTCCGTCTTATTGCTGAGTAGTATGCATGGGCCATAGTTTGTCCATTCAGCCACCGAAGGACGTTTGGCTTGTTTCCAGTTGTTGTTTTTAATCCTCACCCGAGGACATTTTCCCATTGATTTTTAGGGAGAGTGGAAAAAAGAGAGAAAGAGAGAAATAACGATGTGAGAGAGACACATCTATGGGTTGCCTCCCGCACATGCCCCAACCAGGGACCGGACCGGGGAGGAGCCCGCAACCAAGGTACGTGCCCTTGACCAGAATCGAACCCGTGACTCGAGTCCACAGGCCGATGCTCTATCCACTGAGCCACACCGGCCAAGGCTGTTTCCAGTTTTTGACTATTACACATTAAAGCTGCTCTGAACATTTGTGTGCAGGTTTTGTGTAGACATAAGTGTCCATCTTTCTGGCATAAATGCCAGGAGTGCAACTGCTGGGTCCTATGGGAAGTGCATGTTTAGTGTGAGAACCTGCCAGTACTGTCATGGCCGCGTAGTTCAGCAGATCGTCTCCTGTGAGAGGTACCATTAGTCTGATGTGTCTGAAGACAGAATCTGCCAAATCCTTTTCCAGAGGGACTAGAATTTTTTAAAAAAATATTTTTATTGATTTCAGAGAGGAAGGGAAAGGGAGAAAGAGAAACATCAGTGATGAGAGAGTTATTCATTGGCTGCCTCCTTGCATGCCCCACACTGGAAATTGAGTCCGCAACCTGGGCATGTGCCCTGACCGGGAATTGAATTGTGACTTCCTGGTTCATAGGTTGGTGCTCAACCACTGAGCCACACCAGCCAGGCTGTGTTGTTGGAATTTATTTTGGCCTAATTGATGGGAAGTGATAGCTCATTGTGGTCTTAATTTGCATTTCACTAATGACTAGTGATGTTAATCATTTTTTCTTGTGCTTATTTGCTATCCTTATATATTTGGCAGAATATATGTTCCTGTATTGCCCATTTTAAAATTAATTGATTGCTTTTTACTGCTGAGTTCTTTATATATTCTAGGTACAAGTCTTGTCAGATATATGGTTTGCAAATATTTTGTCCCAGTCTATAGCGTGTCTTTTCATCTTAACAGTCTTTTGCAGAGCAAACAATTTTTTTGAGAAACATTTCTAATTTTGATGCAGCCCAATTTATCAACATTTCCTTTTATGGGATGTGCTTGTGGTGTCATGCTTAAGGACCCTTCACCCTGCCCTACATCCTAAAGATGTTTTTCCTATTTTTTTCTAATAATTTTGCATTTTAATCTACAGTCCATTTGAGTCCATTTTAAGGTGTGAGGTTTAGGTGGAAGTTGACTTTTTAATCTGTGGCCAATAGTTCTAGTCTTTTGTTGAAAAGACTATTCTTTCTCCTTGACTTGTTTTTGCAACTGTGTCAAAAATGAGTTCACAACCTGGCCGGGTAGTTCAGTTGGTGAGAGTATTGTCCTGACACGCCAAGGTTACCAGTGCCATCCCAGGCACACACAAGACAAACCAATCCCTGGTCAGGGCACATACAAGAATCAACCAGTGAATGCATAAATAAGTGGAAAAACAAAATCAATGTTTCTCTCTCTCTCTTTTTGCCTTTCCTTCTCTCTAAAATCAATCAGTAAATTTTAAAAAAAATCAGTTGACTATCCTTGTATGGGTATTTTTGGGTTCTTTTCTGTTTTATTGATCTACTAGAGGCCTAACGCACAATTAAATCATGTGCGTGTAGGGTCCCCTAGGCCTAGCCTGCCATCAGGGCTATGTCCACCGCCCCTCGACGCCTTTTATGATATAGATGTGCCAATAGCACACTGCCTGCTTCAGTTATTTCCAGCCATATAGTAAGTTTTAAAATTGGATAGAGTGGTTCCTCCCAATTTATTATTTTTCAAAAATGGTTTTAGCTGTTGTAGTTTCCTTCCCTTTTCATATAAATTTTAGAGTAAGCCACAAAAAATCTCGCGGGATTTTGATGGTAATTGTGCTGAACCTGTAGGTCAGTTTGGGGGAGAACTGACATCCCCACTATGTTGAGTCTAAAGCGTATTTTTAAGTTGTAAACTCCGACTATCCAGCAGCAGGGATACCTGGCACTTCCCACAGGGAGCACTCCTGTTTATCCGTCCTGGGATCATGCTCCTCCTCCGGGAAAGGCCGCATTTTGTGAAGGAAGTTCACTCAGGAGTCCAGCCCTAGCTGGTGTTGCTCAGTGGATAGAGCGCCTGCCTCAGACCAAAGGGTCCCGGGTTCAATTCTGGTCAAGGGCACATACCTTGGTTGCAGGCTCCTCCCCGGTCCGGGCCCTGGTCAGGTCGCGTGCAGGAGGCAACCCATGGATGTGTTTCTCTCACATCGATGTTTCTGTCTCTCCCTCTCCCTTCCACTCTCTCTAAAAGTCAATGGAGAAATATCCTCGGGTGAGGATTAACAAACAAAACAAAAGGAGTTCAGCTGCTGGCTATGGCAGCCGAGGTATTTCAGGCCAACCCTCCTGCTGAAGACAACTATGAAACCGCACAAGTAGCATGAGTCTGCGGGCGTTCCGGGTCTGAGCCAGTGAACAGCTGGACGGGCTCCCGTGAGCGACAGAGGCAGAGGTTCCCCAATGAGTCAGATACATCAGTAGCCGCCTGAGCAGGAAATGCACTGCTCGGCTCACCCAAACTTAGGGGCACCTTACACTCTTCCAGTTTCTTCTTCCTGAAACATCATTCTGAGAGTACTTGGCAGCCTGACTTGAATATTAATTCTCAGCATGCACTGAACTCAATTACCACTGTCCCAGAATTTTAATAACACAATTTTAATGTCAGTTTTCATCCAGGAGCTGTGTCCTTGGATTGCACTGTGGGGACTTCCTGTAGAGCCTTCTCCTTCACAAGATGGCACGGGGCTGCCAGGGGTAATTTGCATTCCCATTGGTTTTGTGTTTTTAAAAAAATATATTTTGATTGATTTCAGAGAGGAAGGAAGGGAGGGGGGAGAGAGATAGAAACATCAATGATGAGAGAGAATCACGGATCGGCTGCCTCCTGTACGCCCCACACTGGGGATCGAGCCTGCAACCCGGGCATATGCCCTGACCGGGAATCGAACCCTGACCTCCTGGTTCATAGGTTGACACTCAACCACTGAGCTACACCAGCCTATTTTGTGGGTTTTGAAGGGATCTACAGAATTAACAGTATTCCTTTTTTAAAAGTCAGTCCATACTGAGCTTTCTTTATATACATATATTTTTAAATTTATTGATTTTTATCCATTTCGAGTTTATCTTGGTGTGTGATAATGGTTTATGGATGCAGTATTTTTTTTTTCAATTTGACCCAACTGCCATCTATGGAAATACCTGTCTTTTCTGCACTGTTAGTTAGGGTAAGGTTAAAGTGTAGCAAAGAGGCTCTGAGATACAATGACTCAACTAAGAAAGAAATAATTTCTCTTACCTGCCATTTCAGAATTCGTGTTCCCAGGCCAGTGGGTGACTCTGTGGCCCTGCCATTCGGGATCGAGGCGCCGTCCAGTTCATTTCTCTACGTTGAAGGCAGCAGTTCTCAAAATGGTTCCTACCCCAGGGGGGTCAGCGTTGCCGGAGAACTTGCTAGAAATACAAATTCCTGGGTTCCACCCAGACCCGCTGACTCAGAAGCAGCAGAGAAGGGTGCAGTGATCTGTATTTTAACAAGCTCCCCAGGGATTCGCATGCGGTTGAGAACCGCTGATCAAATCAGCCTGCGTTGCAAGGGGGGAGGGTGCTCAGAAGAGGTGCGCCACTGTCTTCCTGTGTCAGTGCGGAAGTGGCACACATCGCTTCACTCATACGCCATCTTGGTAAAATCTTGGTCACATGGCCATGTCTAGCTGCAAGGGAGGCTGGGAAGTGTACCCTAGCTGGGCACATTCCGTTATTATAAGAGAAGGGGAGAATGTATTTGAGAGGATTACTAAGTCTTCACAGCCAACAAGGATCAGATACAAAACTCCCATTGTGCAAAGGGGCTTCCTTCTGGAATTTCTCCTGTGTTCACTGGCCTTCTGGTTCATGGGCTAGAACCGCGTAGTTTTCATTATTGAGGCTTTGAACTATGTTTTAATATCTAGTTCTCCCTTCAGTGCTCTTTTATTTAAAGTTTATTTTTGCTCTTCTTGCTTGTTTATTTTTTAAAAACAACATGTATAATCATTTGTCTAGTTATAAACATTTTGGAGGGTTTTAAAAATATATTTTATTGATTTCAGAGGGGAAGGGAGAGGGAGAGAGAGAAACATCAATGATGAGAGAGAATCATGGACTGGCTGCCTCCTGTACACCCCCCCACTGGGGATAGAACCCACAACCCGGGCATGTGCCCTGATCGGGAATTGAACCATGACCTCTTGGTTCATAGGTCAAAGCTCAACTGCTCAGTCACACCAGCTGGGCATGTTTTTGTTTGTTTTTTAAAGATCTTGTGTACTTCATGTCAAGTTTATTCCAAGTTATTTCTGTTATTTGTTGCTATTACAAATGGAATATCTTCTTCCTTATATTGTCTAGGATGGGGCAAAATTAGGTTTACAGTTGTGAGTACTCGAAACAGTTTATTTTTGTATTATTATTATACTAGAGGCCTAGTGCACGAAATTCATGCATGGGGGGGTTCCCTCAGCCCGGCCTGCACCCTCTCTAATCTGGGACCCCTTGGGGGATGTCCGACTGCCAGTTTAGGCCCGATCCCGCAGTCGGACATCCCTCTCACAATCTGGGACCGCTGGCTCCTAACCGCTCACCTGTCTGCAGGTCTGATTGCCCCTAACCACTCTGCCTGCCGCCTGATCTCACCCCTAACTGCCCTCCCCTGCCGGCCTGATCACCCCTAACTTCCCTCCCCTGCTGGTCTGATTGCCTCTAACCGCCTCTCCCTCGGCCCCTGCCAACGTAGCTTTGTCCGGAAGGATGACCGGACGACCGGAAGATGTCCAGTCTATCTGGTCTAATTAGCATATTACCCTTTTATTAGTATAGATATTAATTATTTTATTTCCATAAAAACAACTGTAACCTGGCTTTTGTCCCACCCTGTATGTTAACTATTGATTTCTTTATGTTTTATTTTCTGCAACTTTACTGAATTCTCATATTGTTTTTGGTAGTTTCTCAGTTGAGTCTCTTGGCTTTTCCAAGCATACTGTTACATTTTCTGCAAATAATAAGTTTTACTTCCTCTTTTCCAATTGGTAGACCTCTAGTTTATTTTTCTTGTGTAATCGCTTCAGTTAGGATCTCCAGTACTATGTTAAATAATTGTTAATTCTTCTGGCGTTTTCCATTAAATTTGATACTAAAATAATGTCAAACATGTTAAACATGTTAAGGGTATCAATTCTATTCATATTTTGAGTTTTTAATCAAGAATGGGTGTTAAATCTGTCACATACCTTTTCAGACTTTGAGGAAATATGATTTTTCTCCATAGATTTATTAATATACTTAAGTATTTTAATAGTTTTTCTTCTTTTTAATTTTTATTTATTATTGACTTTAGAGAGAGTGGAAGAGGGAGAGAGAGAAAAACATCGATTTGTTGTTCCACTTATTTTATTGATTTTAGAGAGGAAGGGAGAGGGATAGAAACATCAATGATGAGAGAGAATCATTGATAGGCTGCCTCCTGCATGCCCCCTACTGGGGATCAAGCCCGTAACCCAGGCATGTGCCCTTGGCCAGAATCGAACCTGGGACCCTTCAGTCCGCAGGCTGATGCTCTATCCCATGAGCCAAACCGGCTAGGGCACTGCTTGATTTTTTTATATGCCCTGACCAGGGATCAAACCCACAACCTTGGCATATCAGGTCGATGCTCTAACCACCTGAGCTACTGGCCAGGGCCTTAATAGATTTTCTAATATGCAAATAATGTGGTATCCTTCACCTTCTAATCCAAAGAGCTGAATAGATCATGAATGCAATAGGTAGCTGCATTTTCTCCTTCCCTTCCCCTAGCCTCTCCAGAGTCCTCGCTATCCTGTTAAATGGCACTACCACTAGATAAGATTGTCTACCAACTGCACTCAAATGACAAAAGAAGATAAGAAAAAAGTCCAAGAAAAAAAGACAAGCTGAGAAACCATTCCTTTTTTCTTATTCTCTTACAACACTTCTCAGCCAATGCCGTAAGTTCTCCTTGCAAACCCAACCTCTTATCGTCACCACTGCTAACAGCCTGGGCCAAGCTGGCTTCCTTTCTCAGCTGCCCATGGTGACAGCGCCGGAATGGTCCCCCTGCCTCATTATGACGCCTAAGACTCCGCTCAGTCTGCTTCCAACCAGCCTCCCATTCCCCGGGCCGTCCACTGTGCTCCTACCAACCAGCCTGCTTTCCATCCAGCCACCTCCTTTCCTAGCATGGCTGCCTCCTCCTCATTCAGCCCTGAACTCAAATGCCCCTCAGAGAGGCCCTACCTGACATTCCCAGCTAACTTCTCTGATTTCAATGTCAAGGGAGCCCTGAAGGGAAGCTGTGCAGCCTCGGACAGGTGGGTCACTAGCTGTGGCAGATACAAGCTTCCTCATTCTCTTGATGCTCATATATATATTTAAAATATTTTTAAATTGACTTCAGAGAGGAAGGGAGAGAAAGAAACATAATGATGAGAGAGAAGCATGGATCGGCTGCCTCCTGCAGGCCCCACACTGGGGGATGGAGCCCACAACCTGGGCCTGTGCCCTGACCAGGAATGGAACCATGACCTCCTGGTTCATAGGTCAGTGCTCAAACACTGAGCCACACCGGCCGGGCAATTTCCTATTGTCTTCCTACCAGGAAAGGACCTGCAGCATGAAGCCACTTTCACATCCTCGCAGTAAGATGCTGTCTACTCCTGAGCAAGAGAATGCCACCCCCCTGTCCTTCAGCAAATGCCTTCACTCTGAGTCACAGCTTTCCTCACTGAAGCAGAAACAGCAGTCCCCGCCCTATGTACTTTCTGTGACAATTAAGGGGAGATGTATTTAAAGTGCTAGTCTAGCATTCTGTGGTTTCGATGGACATAGGATAGTGGACATACAACTGTCTCTCTCTCACACACACACGCACACACACACACAAAACTCCCCGCCCCAATCCTTCCATTACTATCCCACGGTAGGAAGCTCAGAGCCACGAACTGCTCCTTTGCCACCTCCCCCCACTAGCCTAAGGCCGGCTCGTGGTTTTAGAACATCGCTCACGTCTGCAGTTCTCCCTTCCTGCTGTTCAGCCTGGACCACAGAAGCAGCCACCTCCCTTCCTCCCTCACTAACAGGCCCCCTTTGGTTCTGGATGGGGTGCTAGGGAAGACTTGTCTCCCAATTCCCGTCCGGGGCATGTAGGTGGGAGCCCCTGGGGTGGGTGTCCCTTCCCACATGAAGCCTCACGAGAAGACTTTTGGCTCTACTGCTTTTTCCTTTCTCCCCCTCCCCTTCCCCCTCCTCCTCCTCCTTGTCCTCCTCCTCCTCCTTCTGTTTTCTTTTTTTAATTTTTAAAAATATATTTATATATTTTATTGATTTTTTACAGAGAGGAAGGGAGAGGGATAGAGAGTTAGAAACATCGATGAGAGAGAAACATCGATCAGCTGCCTCCTGCACACTCCCCACTGGGGATGTGCCTACAACCAAGGTACATGCCCTTGACCGGAATCGAACCTGGGACCCTTGAGTCTGCAGGCCAATGCTCTATCCACTGAGCCAAACCGGTTAGGGCTGTTTTCTTTTTAAAATATATATATATTTTATTGATTTTTACAGAGAGGAAGGGAGAGGGATAGAGAGATGGAAACATCAATGATCAGAGAGAATCATGGATCAGCTACCTCCTGCATGCCCCCTACTGGGGATCAAGCCTGCAACCCAGGCATGTGCCCTTGACTGGAATCGAACCTGGGACCCTTCAGTCCGCAGGCTGACGCTCTATCCACTGAGCCAAACCAGCTAGGGCTCTTCTTTTTTTTAATCCTCACCCGAGGATGATTTCCCATTGATTTTTAGGGAGAGTGGAACAGAGAGGGAGAGACGGAGAGAAATATCGATGTGAGAGAAACACATGAATTGGTTGCCTCCTGCATGAGCCCCAACCAGGCCAAGGAGGACCCTGCAACCAAGGTACATGCCCTTGACCAGAATGGAACCTGGGACCCTTTGGTCCACAGGGTGATGCTCTATCCACTGGGCCACACTGGCTAAGGCTCTACTGTTTTTTTCTCTCCTAGAACTTGGAGCACAAAGCCCAGAGGTGCAGAAGCTGATCTGTAACCATGAGGACAGAAAGCATATGCTGACGGTGGTGGGGTAGGAAGATGAGCGAGTCTGCATCCTAGATGACCTGGTGACGCCGGCGCCCCATCCTGAGCTGGGACCTTTGGACCTCTCAGCACGTAAGAAAAATAAACCTCCATCCGTTGGGCTGTCTATTCTTGCAGCTCTGTGGCAGGTTTACATTTTTTCACGCTTTTATCAAAATGTTGAAGTGTTCAGCTATTATTTCTTCAAATATTTTCTCTGCCCCGTTCTCTCTTTCTTCTCCTTCTGGGACTCCACAGCACACATGTTGGTCTGCTCTGATGGTGTTCCACAGGTCCCTACGCTCTGTTCACCTTTCTTCAATCTCTTTTCTTTCTGTGTCTCAGACTAGATAAGGGTCACTGTTCTGTCTTCAAGTTTGCTAATTCTTTCCCCGGCCTGCTCACATCTACCTTCGAATCCCTCTAGTAAGTTTTTCAGCTCCGAATTGTCTCTCTCTTGATGGATATTTCCATTTTGCTTATACATCGCTTTTTATTTTCTTCATATCATCTTCCTTTGAGCATCTTTAAGAGAATTGTTTAGCTTTGTCTAGCAAGCGTGCCGTCTGATCTTTCTCAGGGATGCTTCTGTTGTGGGTGTGTTTCCCCCCTTGAATGGACCATATGTTCCATTTCTTTGTCTGCCTTATAATTTTGTTGTTGAAAACCGGGTATTTCAATCTAATAATGTAGTGACTGGAAATAAGATTCTCCCCCTTCCCCGGGTTTGCTGCTTTTTGCTTTTTGTTTTTTGATTGCTGTAAGCCGTGCCTGTGCCAGTGACTTTATACATACCCCTGTGTCTGTGGTTGCTTTTGAATGTCCTACATGTCTGGCTCTTAAA